TTTTCGCGCATGCGCAGTGACAGCGGTTGCTTCAGGGTAGCATGCAGTCGAGTTTGTTATCTGCTCTTTGAATTAGAAACATTATCATCTGATTGTATTATATTGTTACAGATATTATATCGCAGCTAACGTTATATAAAAGCGTTTATAAGAAGAAGGAAGACCAAGCGGAATGAATCAGTTTGAAATGTAAGTTAGCGGCTAACGGCTAATTAAACTAATCATCTGAATGTATGAACATATAAACAGCTGCAGCTTACAGATTCACAACATTCACAGTTCATTTATAGTATAAGTAGATTTAGTATATAGAATCATGATGAGTGTATATATAGCCTAGTTATATCTATATACCTCTTACGAAAATTAACCATGGTTTTATTAGAGTAAAAGTGTAGTAACCATGTTTCTGGCGTATTTATTGCCATTTGTATAACCACAGTTTTACTACAAATACCATGGTTAAGCGATGGTTAGTGTAGCAAAACCATTCATTTGTGGTTACCATGGTTTAACTACAGTAAGATTTCTTGGTTTTATTTGTAGTAAAATCATGGTCAGTGTTCGTAAGAGACGTCATGTGTGTGTGTGTGTGTGAGAGAGAGAGTGAGTGAGTGAGAGAGTGTGTGAGTGTGAGTAATATATATATATATATATATATATATATATATATATATATATATATATATATATATATATATATATATATATATATATATATATATATATATATATATATATATATATATATATATATATATATATATATATATATATATATATATATATATATATATATATATATATATATATATATATATATATATATATATATATATATATATATATATATATATATATATATATATATATATATATATATATATATATATATATATATATATATATATATATATATATATATATATATATATATATATATATATATATATATATATATATATATATATATATATATATATATATATATATATATATATATATATATATATATATATATATATATATATATATATATATATATATATATATATATATATATATATATATATATATATATATATATATATATATATATATATATATATATATATATATATATATATATATATATATATATATATATATATATATATATATATATATATATATATATATATATATATATATATATATATATATATATATATATATATATATATATATATATATATATATATATATATATATATATATATATATATATATATATATATATATATATATATATATATATATATATATATATATATATATATATATATATATATATATATATATATATATATATATATATATATATATATATATATATATATATATATATATATATATATATATATATATATATATATATATATATATATATATATATATATATATATATATATATATATATATATATATATATATATATATATATATATATATATATATATATATATATATATATATATATATATATATATATATATATATATATATATATATATATATATATATATATATATATATATATATATATATATATATATATATATATATATATATATATATATATATATATATATATATATATATATATATATATATATATATATATATATATATATATATATATATATATATATATATATATATATATATATATATATATATATATATATATATATATATATATATATATATATATATATATATATATATATATATATATATATATATATATATATATATATATATATATATATATATATATATATATATATATATATATATATATATATATATATATATATATATATATATATATATATATATATATATATATATATATATATATATATATATATATATATATATATATATATATATATATATATATATATATATATATATATATATATATATATATATATATATATATATATATATATATATATATATATATATATATATATATATATATATATATATATATATATATATATATATATATATATATATATATATATATATATATATATATATATATATATATATATATATATATATATATATATATATATATATATATATATATATATATATATATATATATATATATATATATATATATATATATATATATATATATATATATATATATATATATATATATATATATATATATATATATATATATATATATATATATATATATATATATATATATATATATATATATATATATATATATATATATATATATATATATATATATATATATATATATATATATATATATATATATATATATATATATATATATATATATATATATATATATATATATATATATATATATATATATATATATATATATATATATATATATATATATATATATATATATATATATATATATATATATATATATATATATATATATATATATATATATATATATATATATATATATATATATATATATATATATATATATATATATATATATATATATATATATATATATATATATATATATATATATATATATATATATATATATATATATATATATATATATATATATATATATATATATATATATATATATATATATATATATATATATATATATATATATATATATATATATATATATATATATATATATATATATATATATATATATATATATATATATATATATATATATATATATATATATATATATATATATATATATATATATATATATATATATATATATATATATATATATATATATATATATATATATATATATATATATATATATATATATATATATATATATATATATATATATATATATATATATATATATATATATATATATATATATATATATATATATATATATATATATATATATATATATATATATATATATATATATATATATATATATATATATATATATATATATATATATATATATATATATATATATATATATATATATATATATATATATATATATATATATATATATATATATATATATATATATATATATATATATATATATATATATATATATATATATATATATATATATATATATATATATATATATATATATATATATATATATATATATATATATATATATATATATATATATATATATATATATATATATATATATATATATATATATATATATATATATATATATATATATATATATATATATATATATATATATATATATATATATATATATATATATATATATATATATATATATATATATATATATATATATATATATATATATATATATATATATATATATATATATATATATATATATATATATATATATATATATATATATATATATATATATATATATATATATATATATATATATATATATATATATATATATATATATATATATATATATATATATATATATATATATATATATATATATATATATATATATATATATATATATATATATATATATATATATATATATATATATATATATATATATATATATATATATATATATATATATATATATATATATATATATATATATATATATATATATATATATATATATATATATATATATATATATATATATATATATATATATATATATATATATATATATATATATATATATATATATATATATATATATATATATATATATATATATATATATATATATATATATATATATATATATATATATATATATATATATATATATATATATATATATATATATATATATATATATATATATATATGCATATGCAAAAGCCTCTAAGTGCCGTCTGAAATTTTCTTCTAAAATGATCATTTTTCTCAGTCTCCTATGTTGATGTTCAGTTGTTTCACTTTAATGGCGAGTAAAGAACCTTAAAGTGAAATTACTGAACATCAACATAGGAGACTGAGAAAAATCCTCAATTAAATCCTCATCTATATATATATATATATAATTACACTAGCATTATTATACCAAATCAACATATAATTGTAACCTTTAAAAATATCATTTTTGTATTGTTATTTATTTTCTATAAAACTATTAACTTTTACATTTTATTAAGGTTATTAAATCTTTTTTGATAATGTTTCAGTCTGAACATCATAAAATGCTGATTTATTAACAGTAAATGTTGTATTTGTAGTTTGGAGGAGGAAGACTCTGGTGAGCAGGAGGAGATGAAGGACAGTAATGAGAGCGACGGAGGATCAATAAACAACAACAACAACAACATCAGACGCAAGGTGAGCCTGACACACACACACACACACATACAGACACACACACACATACAGACACACACACTCACTCACACTCACACACACACACACACACACACACACTCACACTCACACACACTCACACACACACACACTCACACACACACACACACACACATACAGACACACACACACATACAGACACACTCTCACTCACACACACTCACTCACACTCACACACACACACACATACAGACACACACTCTCACTCACACACTCACACTCACACTCACACACACATACAGACACACACTCTCACTCACACACACTCACTCACACTCACACAGACACCACACACACTCACACTCACACACACACTCACACTCACACACACACTCACACAGAGAGAGACAGAGACACTCACACACTCACACTCACACACACACACACACACACACACACTCACACACACAGAGGTCAGAGATCACAGATTATGCTGTGCACATACAGAAACTTGTCGTCGGCGCTGCCCCACGACTTTTATTAATAAAATAGCCAAGATACTGGAAAAAACAAGTGAACGAATGATACACAGATTGTGATCTTACTGCACTATATCATCTCTGTGTCTGATTTGAAGCGGGCAGAATGCTGGCGCTAACAAGCTGTAACTGACGAAAATAACCTCACTTTTACCGTCCGGTCAAATATTGTGCTGCAAACATCATTAACAGCTTATGCCATCATTAATGGTAAAGGGCCATGGTATAAGCAGAATAATGCATGGCTAGCGTCACGTCAGTGGGTCTTGCGTCACAGTGCGGCTTTGATTTGAGATGTGTGTGTGTGTGAATCAGGACGAGGCCAATAAGAACGGAGGGAAGTGGATCATCCGGCTGAGGAAGGGTCTGGCGTCTCGTTTCTGGGAGAACATCATCCTGGCCATGCTGGGTGAGCAGTTCATGGTGGGCGAGGAGATCTGCGGGGTCGTGGTGTCCATCCGCTTCCAGGTGCGGATCAGAAACCATCATCCCGTCACGAGTTACTGTGTGTGTGAGTCTGACACGAGTGTGTGTCCGCAGGAGGATATTCTGTCCATCTGGAATAAAACAGCCAGTGATCAGGTGACCACGTCACGGATACGGGACACGCTGCGGCGCGTGCTCAACCTGCCACCAAACACCATCATGGAGTACAAGACACACAACGACAGTCTCAAGTACGACTCGCTCGATCCCACTCACAGAAGCGGTTCTGACCGCAGTCCGGATCCATTCATGTGGAGATATATGTGACCCTGCAGCACAAAACCAGACACTAGAATCATCTGAGGGAGCAAAAAAATCTAAATATTGAGAAAATCATCTTTAAAGTTGTTCAAATTAAGTTCTTAGCAATGCATATTACTAATCAAAAATTAAGTTTTTATATATTTACGGTAGGAGATTTACAAAATATCTTCATGGAACATGATCTTTACTTAATATTCTAACGATTTTTGGCATAAAAGAAAAATGTATAATTGTGACCCATACAATGTATTGTTGGCTATTGCTACAAATATACCCCAGCGACTTAACACTGCTTTTGTGCTGCAGGGACACATATCTCTCTCAGCTGATGCTGTAAACTAAACCTGTTTCCACCACAGAATACAAAAAAACATAACAACAGTAAATGTGAGGTTACATCTCACAATTTTGACTTTTTTTCTCACAAAAATTGACAATAAAATTTAAAAGTGAATTTTTTTCCAGAATTGCAAGATAAAAGTCGCAATTACCTCTTGGTTATATATTAACCTCTTGCTGTAATATTAAAAGTTAAAACTATTAAAAACTACTAACTATTAAATTCAACTGCTATTATTTGAGCAGATGCGAAGTGTCTCTGATCCTCATATGCTTCTGGTTTTTCAGGGATAATTCCAGCTTCCGGAACACGAAGATCACTTTGTGAAAACCTGGAAATAATTTTCATATGGACACTTTCCCTTTTACAGCACGAGCAGCGTGTGTGAGTGAGTGTGTGTGTGTGAGAGTGTGTGTGTGAGTGAGAGTGTGTGTGTGAGTGAGAGTGTGTGTGTGAGTGAGAGTGTGTGTGTGAGTGAGAGTGTGTGTGTGAGTGAGAGTG